AGTCGCACTTGAAAATGTGGCCCAAACTGTTCGTGTGGCTTTTGGCGACTTTGTGGAAATTAACATGGGCTTGCGAAAATTTTGCGGCTTTCAACTATACGTTAGACGATCACGATCAGTGGAAACTGAGTGTCGAAGAAGCGGAAATAATTAGTGTATCAGATCCTTACGATGAGGTTTCTGTTCAAGACCAATTTATCCCACGACTGTGTTGCAAAATCCTGAATTTCACACACCCAATCGAACAAATCATATTTGACAATTGCGCCATTGAAGAATTAGAAGAGGTTTGTTTTTCCGAAGCTATACAACAAATCACCGAATCACTCACAATAACTAACAATAAACTGACGTCTGTTAAAAAAGGTACGTTTCGCAATATCCAGCTAAAGAAGATTCATTTACACAACAACCGAATCAAAATCTTGGAAGACGTCTCCTTTTCTAATTTGTCGAACTTGGAGATTCTAAATCTAGATCAGAACAACTTGCAAGCGCTGAACCCCAACGCCTTTGTCGTGTTGCCGAAACTGAGTACACTGAATCTCATGTTCAACCAAATTAAGATCTTGCAAGAGGGAGCGTTCAGATTTCTCTCGACAAATCCAGTGGTTAAACTGAAGTGTAACCAAATCTCTCGAGTCGAAGATGCGTTTAAGGGTTCGTCTGCACGAGATATAGTTTTAGATTTAAGCGGTAACCGTATGGAAAATTTGGCGGAAGGTGTTTTCAGCAACCATGAGTTTGAAGATGTGAACCTGAATCAGAACCCGATGAAGAATATAGCGAAGAAATTTTGCGGAGAAAACTGTTCGATAAAGGGGTTTCAGTGTGCATGTTGTTATCTCAACGATGATGCCACGCAGACGATTAAAGACTTGCAGCTTGTACAGAATACTGTTTCGTTTGGAGGAGCGTGTCGTGATAGCAATGGTAATTATATTTTGAATGTTGCATCTGTGTGTGGTGGAAGCAAAAATAATCGAGTGGAGATTTATTTGTATATTTGGAAGTCATCGCTGGTGTTAGTTATGTTACGATGTTTAATATAATGTAATTAAATGTAACTTCACTCAGACGTTGCGAATTTATACAATAAATTTAATTAACAACTAAACTGTGTTATAAATTGATTAGTCCATAGCTCTCGATAAAAAGTCTTCTCTTCTTTACGGAAAACACATTCGAAACAACCTGCTAGTGTCTTTATAAATAAAAAATCACCAGTTGGGAACTAGTAGGTTTTTTTTGACCAATTGCTTCGCTAATAAAAAAGTATCCGGTTGAGCAAAACTAGGTTAGCGTATGTTTCGAAATTTAAACTAAGCTCTAAAGTTTCGTTATAATCGCTAATATATTCTCAATAATGATACCATTATCTGATGACAATGTTAATGACAACACTTTACAGTTTTATAACTTTATAACTGTTTCCAAAGCAGGATTTCCACCCACCGCTAATTCAGTGAAAAATTGAGTACTTGCTAAGATAAAACTGATTTTAGCAAATGACGTATCCTCTAAGAAATTGAAATGAATTATCATAAGAAAAGACACTAGAAGCTCCAAAGCACTTTCGAATTCTTTCCAAACAGGAACACCTAGAACCTCAAGAATCCCCCAAAATTGTTTTAAATAATTTACAAAAAAATATCCATGGATACCCAAGAGTCTCCCGAATGAAAAAAAATTGGTCGAAGATTACTTCGACAGAACTTCCTTCGCCCATAACGTACAGCCTGTCAAATCTAGCTCTTTCGTAAAATTAAAAGATTTGATTTTGCGAATTGTATTGCTTTTTATGGCATCCATTTTAAGCTAAAATAAAAATATGTGTCTAATGTTTGAGTAAAGGTAAATCAGAAACCGCTCACTCCATTTTCCAGAAAATTTTGGTAATACAATACTGTTATTTTTCAATTTCCTTTTCACACTAAATAAAATAAGTCAGTGAAATGGAAAAAAGAGGTGAGCGGAGCTTTTTCAGTGACTACTCTTAATATTGTTCAGTCTTGTCTTAGCAAGTTTTAGCCCCACCCACCCCCTCTTTATTCCAGTGATTACTCTTAATATTGTTCAGTCATTTATCACAATCAGTCTTATTGTAACAAATACTAATCGTAACTAATTAATCGTAATTTTTTGTTAAAACACTTGTTTGTTATAACATTTATTTCTTATTTCTGACGAAAAAATTAGAGAACGGGTGGGTGGGCGGGGCTAAGTTTAATTTTTCCCACAGAATCTTATATCAGTAAGCAATAGCCCCGCCCACCCACCCCCTCTTTTTTCCAGTGACTACTCTTAATATTGTTCAGTCTTATCCTAGCAAGTTTTAGCCCCGCCCACCCACCCCCTCTTTATTCCAGTGATTACTTTTAATATTGTTCAGTCATTTACCAAAGTCAATCTTATTTTAACAAATATTATTCGTAACTAATTAATCGTAATTTTGTATTATATTACTTAATTATTATAACATTTATTTTTTATTTCTGAACAAAAAAATGAGAGAACGGGTGGGTGGGTGGGGCTAAGTTTAACTTTCCCTACAATGTCTTTTATAAGCAAACAATAGCCCCGCCCACCCGCCCCCTCTTTATTCCAGTGAATACTCTTAATATTGTTCAGTCATTTACCAAAATCAATCTTATTTTAAGAAATATAAAGGTAACTAATTAATTGTAATTTTTTGGTATACTACTTATTTGTTATAACATTTTTTTCTTATTTATGAAAAAAAATGAGAAAACGGGTGGGTGGGCGGGGCTAAGTTTGGCTTTTCCTGCAGAATCTTTTACAAGCAAGCACTAGCCCCGCCCACCCACCCCCTCTTTGTTCCAATGATTAGTCTTAATCTTGTTCAGTCATTTACCACAATCAATCTTTTTGAACAAATACTAATCGTAACTAATTAATCGTAATTTTTTGTTAAAGCACTTATTTGTTATAACATTTATTTCTTATTTCTGACGAAAAAAATGAGAGAACGGCTGGGTGGGCGGGGCTAAGTTTACTTTCCCTACAAAATCTTTTATAAGCAACCAATAGCCCCGCCCACCCACCCCCTCTTTATTTCAGTGATTACTCTTAAAATTGTTCAGTCATTTACCAAAATCAATTTTATTTTAATAAATACTAATCGTAACTAATTAATCGTAATTTTTTTATTACACTACTTATTTGCTATAACATTTATTTCTTATTTATGAAGAAAAAACGAGAGAAGGGGTGGGTGGGTGGGGCTAAGTTTAACTTTTCCTAAAGAATCTCATATAAGCAAGTTTTAGCCCCGCCCACCCACCCCCTCTTTTTTCCAATGACTACTCTTAATATTGTTCAGTCATTTACCACAATCAATCTTATTGTAACAAATACTAATGGTAACTAATTAATCGTAATTTTTTGTTATACTACGTATGTGTTATAACATTTATTTCTTATTTCTGACGAAAAAAAATAGAGAACGGGTGGGTGGGCGGGGCTAAGTTTAACTTTTCCTCCAGAATTTTTTACAAGCAAACAATAGCCCCGCCCACCCACCCTGTCTTTATTTCAGTGCTTACTCTTAATATTGTTCAGTCATTTACCAAAATCAATCTTATTTTAACAAATACTAATCGTAACTAATTGATTTTTTAAATTTTTTGTTATACTACTTATTTGTTATAACATGATTTTCGATGTTGTAATTCACATTTGGTTAAATATAACTGGTCTAGATCTACGGGAAGCTCAGCATCCCCTAGTCTCCCCCTAACTACGGCACTGTCTAGGGGCTATGAAATATCGAGAAAATATGAAAATACCAAATTGCCCGACGGACTCCATTACTGTACGTCCTTAGGTTATCCTCGATAAGAAAAACAAATTGAAAGTGTTTATGTTTATACATCGGAAGAATGTCACGTAGAAATCAGTTTGATTTCAATGAGTTTATACATCGGAAGAATGTCACGTAGAAATCAGTTTGATTTCAGTGATTTCGTCCCCTCAAAATAAAGGATCAAAACTATCAAGTAGTAAGCTACAATCGACGAAATATTCTGAATATCATTATAATTCTTATTAAATAAAGACACATTTTCAGGAAAATGGGGTGACTCGTTCTTAATTTGATCAATAAACAATATGAATGCAATGATGAATCACAAGTACAACTCATGATATTTTGCACATTGGGTAGAATTTATTCGGTAAAATTTTGAGAAAACTTAATTAATTATTGGGGGGGAATAAACAAATTTAGCCCCGCCCACCCGCCCGCTCTTTTCATAGAAGGTATCTAATTTGCCAAAATCACTCTTATTTTAGCAGGGAGTAGCCCCGCCCACCCACCCTCTATATTCTGAGAAGGATCTCATTTGCCGATATCAGTCTTATCTTAGCAGGATAGCAGGCCACCCACTCTCTCTTTTCTTCGAGGGTATATCATTTGACAAAATCAGTTGTGATAACCCAAACATCCCGCCTTAAAATGGCATGTGAAAAAAAAATTGAAAGCCCGCGAAAGTTTGAAAAAATTGTCCTTAGCTGTGATCGTGTAACAAAATAGGTAGGCTACATTGTGTTTGTTTTTTTTTTGTGGCGGAATGCGTTCAGGTGCAAGTGGTGGACCCTAAGGTTGACAAAAAAAAAAGCTGCGTTTGGGGCTCTTGGTTGTGTCTGTTCTCCCGCCACTACGGTGATTCTACTCTATCGACAAGCATGCGCCCAGCACCCCTCTATCTACCGAAGAAACGTGCCGCGCTAATACGCCGCGACGGTCGTAAACTCGTGGTTGCATCCCAGCTGTTGGGTCAAACCGCGAGCGTCACGTCATCCCGATCGTTCCCCTATTCTAGATCTGCGTCTTTTGTGCAGATGGCGCGAAAAATCCCGCCGGCTCGACCAGGAACCGCGCCCTCCGCAAAATTTGTCATTTTAAACATGTTGCACTATCTTGTGAAAAGACTAAGTAGTTTCAGAACTATTAATTACTATTATTTGTTACAACCTAGGCAACATGGAAGACGACAACTGGCAGTGGCACATGTACGACACCGTCAAAGGCTCCGATTGGCTGGGCGACCAAGACGCCATCCACTACATGACCCGCGAAGCCCCCAAAGCCGTCATAGAACTAGAAAACTACGGAATGCCTTTCTCCCGAACCACCGACGGCAAAATCTACCAGCGCGCCTTCGGCGGCCAGTCCCTCAAGTTCGGTAAAGGCGGCCAAGCCCACCGTTGCTGTTGCGTGGCAGACAGAACCGGCCACAGCCTCCTCCACACCCTGTACGGACAATCCCTACGCTACGACTGCAACTACTTTATCGAATACTTCGCCTTAGACTTGATAATGGAGGACGGGGAGTGCCGCGGAGTCATCGCCTTGAGTTTAGAAGACGGCTCGATCCACAGGATTCGGGCTAAAAACACAGTAAGTAGGAATTTTTGTGGTGGGTTAAAATTGATGGGTGTAGGTGCTGGCCACTGGTGGCTACGGCCGCGCCTACTTCTCGTGCACGTCCGCGCACACCTGCACGGGCGACGGCACCGCGATGGTAGCCCGAGCTGGACTCCCATCCCAGGACCTGGAATTCGTGCAGTTCCACCCGACTGGGATCTACGGTGCTGGGTGCCTCATCACCGAGGGGTGTCGCGGAGAGGGTGGATACCTGATTAACTCGCAAGGGGAGCGCTTCATGGAGCGGTACGCCCCCGTGGCCAAAGATTTAGCGAGCAGAGATGTGGTTTCGAGGAGTATGACGATCGAAATACGCGAAGGTAACTCAAGACGTGGATTAGGGTTGTGTGTAGTTTGGGGTTTTAGGCAGAGGCTGCGGTCCGGAGAAAGACCACGTCTACTTGCAACTACACCACTTACCAGCTGAACAACTGCACACTCGATTGCCCGGGATTTCAGAAACCGCTATGATCTTTGCCGGCGTTGACGTAACGAGAGAGCCGATTCCTGTTTTACCGACTGTGCACTACAACATGGGGGGCGTGCCCACGAACTACAAGGGACAGGTCAGATGCCTACTATCATTGTTTAAGTATATTATAGTTGGACAACCTATATGGACAATCACTTTCCCATGTACAAAAGAATGAACATATATTTTACATCTCACTCGCTTCACTATGAAGTGGCGGTACCTTACGAAAGGGAGTAAAAATAGTCTATAAGCACGTGATGTCGATAAGGTAGTAAACGGACGTATTAGTCAGTACGTTGTACGGGTAGCAGTTACAAAATAAGCAAACGTACGTGTTGAGGACTTTACATATATGTAATATGTATATTGTAATATGTAACGCAGTAAATCCTCGAAATCGAATAATAAAAAATTGGTCTAAAGAATTTAGACAGTACTTCCCTCGCTGTCGGAAACTTGACGACTGCATGCCTATTGTGTTTTTTTTCTCATTACATTTTTGTAGTGGGAATTTAAAAAAAAATTGCGATGACGTCATCAACATTTTTGCAAGGACACGTATCAGTTGGGATAGATGTAGTGTAATACTAAGAATAAAATTATTATATTCTCAAATTTTCGGGAAAATGAATTGGGTCGTTTTGAATATTGATTTGTAATAATCAATAAAATAACGAAACAATTTACTCACGTATATATACGTATCAGAGGCAACTGAAAATCGTGTATGTATAAACATTCTTAATTTAAGATGACAGGCGTAACAGCATACGTGAGAGTCAAACAAAGAAACTGTAAACAAAACGACCATCGGTTTTATTGCTTCGACTTCCGCTTATTATATCAAAACATTGGGTTTTATTTTAATTCTTGACGGTGAAATTCACAATTGGTTGATTATAAACATGTCTATTTCACATTCGCGGAACCAAGTGAGCGCATAAAACAAATGCAGGTCTGTAATGTTAAAGTCGATGTAAATAAGCGTGCTACCCTTATGTTTCAACCGAGTTTTTCCTTTAACAAATTTTGTGTCTACCAAATTGGGTTGGTTGGGGTGTAATACTAATAATAAGTGTTGCCTTTAATTTAATCAATAAAATAAATTGACTTCATTAATTTTTTTGAACCACCTCTTAAGAAAATCTAAAAAATATGAATGGAATGATAAATCACAAGTACAAACTCATCATATTTTTTGCATTTTAGATAGGATTTATTCAGCAAAATTTAAGGGCGACGTCATCAATTTTTTTAGGAGGGATGAACAAATACATTTTGAACAAAAGTTTACCATGCTTATAATAACTTTAAAATATTCCCAAGATTTCAAAGCATTCGGTTTTGTAATTCCTGATTAAATCGATAAAATAAATTCACGCCTTCATTAATTTTTTTGAGTCACCCTGCATATGCAAATCGAAAAATATGAATGGAATGATAAATCACAAGTACAGACTCATCATATTTTGTACATTTTAGAAACGATTTATTCGGCAAACTTTTGAGCTGACGTCATCAGTTTTTTGTAGAAGATAACCAAATATATTTTGACTAAAAATTTATTATGCTCTTTATAACCTTAAAACATCTGCAAGATTTCAAAGCATTCGGTTTTATAGTTCCTGATTAAATCAATAAAATAAATTTACGCATTCATTAATTTTTTTGAGTCACCCTGTTTATGTAAATCGAAAAAATTTGAATGGAATGATAAATCACAAGAAGAGACTCACCATATTTTGTACATTTTAGATAGGATTTATTCAGCAAAATTTTGTGGTGACGTCATAAATTTTTTAGGGGGGACGACCAAATACATTTTGATCAAAAATTTACCATGCTTATGATAATTTTAAAATATCGTCAAGATTTCGAAGCATTCAGTTTTGTAGTTCCTGAGTAAATCAGTAAAATAAATTTACGCTTTCATTTATTTTCTTGAATCACCCTGTATATGCAAATCCAAAAAATATGAATGGAGTGATAGATCACAAGTACAGACTGATCATATTTTGTACATTTTAGATATGATTTATTAGGCAAATTTTCGAGCTGACGTCATCAAGTTTTTGGAGGGGATAAGCCAATATATTTTGACTAAACATTTATTATGCTCTTTATAACCTTAAAACATCTGCAAGATGTCAGAGCATTCCGTTTTGTAGTTCCTGATTAAATCAATAAAATATATTTACGCATTCATTAATTTTTTTGAGTCACTCTGTATATGCAAATCCAAAAAATATCAATGGAGTGATAAATGACAAGTACAGGCTCATCATATTTTGTACATTTTAGATATGATTTATTCGGCAAACTTTCGAGCTGACGTCATCAAGTTTTTGGAGGGGATAAGCAAATATATTTTGACTAAACATTTATTATGCTCTTAATGACCTTAAAACATCTGCAAGATTTCAGAGCATTCGGTTTTGTAGTTCCTGATTAAATCAATAAAATATATTTACGCATTCATTAATTTTTTTGAGTCACCCTGTATATGCAAATCCAAAAAATATGAATGGAGTAATAGATCACAAGTACAGACTCATCATATTTTGTACATTTTAGATATGATTTATTCCACAAACTTTTGAGCTGACGTCATCAAGTTTTTGGAGGGGATAAGCAAATATTTTTTGACTAAAGATTTATGATGCTCTTTATAGCCTTAAAACATCTGCAACATTTCAAAGCATTCTGGTTAGCAGATTAAAAATAAAATTTCAAAATGTTGTTTTATAATTTTGATTTTTTTTCCAAAAATCTGGACGTTTCGGGTGAAAAGTCGATTCAGAGTTGTAAACTACATGTGTAGGACTATGTTATTTTATACAATTGAAAACCCATTTACTATGTACAATTTTGAAGTGACGTCATCGCATTAGTGGTGGGGATGATTAGACAAATTTTGGTTAGCGTTTTACCATCTACATGATATTCTTAATATAAGTACAAAATTTCACAACAATCGGTCTAGTACTTTCGGAGATTATCTGTCTAATAAAAATCCGGGACGGCAGACGGACAGACGGACGGACAGACGGACGGACAGACGGACGGACAGACGGACAGACAGACGGACAGACGGAAATGGGAGACCTATTTCTTCGTCTTCTACGGGTCATGAAAGATCGAGAAAACGTAAAAGTAGAAAGTCGGCCGACGGACTCGATTACAATACTTCCTTTGCTTACGCTCGGGAAGTAAAAAATCAAAAAAATAAAAATTGGAAAATCTAAAATTTAAAAATCGAGAAATTCAACAATCGGTTAATTCAAAAATCCAAACATCGAAAAACTGGAAAATCGAAAAATAAAAAAAATTGGACAATCGAAAATTTAAAAATTCCGAAAATTGAAAAATTGAAATATAGAAGAACTGAAAACTCAAAATATCGAAAAAAACTAATAATTTAAAAATTGAAAAGTTAAAATTGAGAAATCGAAAAACTGAAAAATCACAAAATTGAACGAAATATCCAAAAATCAGGAAATTAAAAAATTGAGAAACAGAAAAGCAGAGTCGAAAAATCGCAAACTTAAAAATCGAAAAATTGAATAATCAGAAACCTGAATAATCGAAAAATTGAAGAACTGAAGAACTGAAAAATCGAAACTTTGGGAAATGGAGAAATGGGAGTATAAAAAAATAATATTAATGGAAAAATCCGAAAACTAAAAAATTCGAAAATATAAAATTTAAAAATCGAAAAAGTGAAAAATCAACGAATCGAGAAGTCGAAAATTGAAAATATCGAAAAAATAAAACATGGAAAAATTGAAAAATCGAGAAATTGAAACATTAAAAATAAATCGATAAATTGAAAAATTTAAACTGAAAAAGTCTAAAACTTAAAAATTAAAAATTCAGAAATCGAGAAATCTAGAAATTGAAAAATCGAAAGTCGAAAATTTAAAAACTTGCAAATTGAAATATAAAAAAATCAAAAAACTGAAACATAGAGAATCGAAAAATCTTTAATTAAAAAAATCGAAAAACCGAAGAAATCAAGAAATGGAAACATCAAAAAATCGAAAAATTGAAAAATCAAAAAATTGAGAAACCGAAAGTCCAAAAATCCAAAAATTTAAGAATCGAATTATTGAAAAATCCCAAAACTGAAATATCGAAAAATTGATAAATCGAAAGGTGAAAAATCGATAAATCAAAATGTTGAAAAATGGAAAAATCGAGAATTAAAAATCGAAAACTTAGAAACGACAAAAATAGAATATTTGACGAGCCGGAAAATCGAAAAATCGAAAGAACGAGCAATCGGAATATCAAAAATACCGAAAAATTCAAAAATCCAGAAATCGAAAAATGAAATACCGAAAGATTCTAAAATCCAGAAATTGAAAAATTCCCAAAACTGAAATATTGAAAAATAGAGAAATCGAAAACTTCAAAAATAGAGAAATCGTAACATGGAAAATGTCGAAAAATCTAAAAATTGAGATATTAAAAAGTCTAAAAATCGGGAAATCGAAACATGAAAAAATCCTAAAATTAAAAAATCAACGAAACAATCAAACAAACGAGAAATCGTGAAATTGAAATACAGATGAATTGAAAAAAATGGAGAATCCAAAAATCGAAACGCCGAAAAATCGGGAAACCAAGAGATTAAACATTTTAAAAACGGAAAAATTGAAAAAATGAAAAAGAAAAATCCAACATAAATTAAAAATCTCGAAAAATTGGGAAATTGAAAAATCAAAGAACTAAAAAATTTAGGAATCGAAAAGTCTAAAATTTAAAATTTGGAAAAATTGAAAAATTGAGAAATTGAAACATTAAAAATAAATCGATAAATTGAAAAATTTAAACTGAAAAAGTCTAAAACTTAAAAATTAAAAATTCAAAAATCGAGAAATCTAGACATTGAAAAATCGAAAGTCAAAAATTTAAAAACTTGCAAATTGAAATATAGAAAAATCAAAAAACTGAAATAGAGAATCGAAAAATCTTTAATTGAAAAAATCGAAAAACTGAACAAATCAAGAAATCGAAACATCAAAAAATTGAAAAATCAAAAAATTGAGAAACTGAAAAGTCCAAAAATCCAAAAATTTAAGAATCGAA